ACATTCAACACCCTTTGAAAGTTATCAAGCAAGTTACATTGAGCTGTTTGAAAATAATGTTCAAACAAGGGCTTCAAAGCTCTGAGATGTGGGTGCATATTTTATGTATTTTTGCTTGATGTTTTTTTTCATCCAAGAAGCTATTTCTTAACAGGGAGGCAATCAATGGCTTCCTGTTCCATGCACGCCAAATAAAACGTCTCACCAGAAAAAAAAGGCCATGCTGCGTTTGTGTATAAAACTATATGCCGGCGCGAAACGTATGTTCCTGGCAGGGTCACCCAAACCGGACAGGTCATTAGCGAGGGTCCAGACTAAAGATGGCCTCCCGGTCCTCCAGGCTCGGTGGTTGGGCGCAGTGTTGACATCTCTTCCCTGTAAAAAATCTACAACGTTACTGAAACTTTAAGAGGAAATTAGTGCTCTAAACGTCCGGCGGTCTTGGGACAGAGTCCCTCTGTCAGCATGAACAACATTGATGAAAGCCTAAAAAAAGCCCATGATGGGAAAACAAGTCTGCTGGATGTCAAAACCAAATTAAGAATTGGCTCTGGAATGTAAGAACCATGCTTGAAACGGCCAAAACCGCCCAAGTAATTAAGAGAAAAAAGGGGCGCCCAAAAACAACATGGAGACGAACGATGGAAAGTGACCTGAGTGCTGCATCTTTGACATTTAAAACTACACTGAAGATTGCACAGGACAGGAGAGCATGGGAAGTCCTCTCTAAAGCCTCATGTGCCACTAGGCATTACGAGAACTGATGATGATGATGATGATTCCGTGAAATCCCTTGGACAGTGTATTCAAAGGGAATCTGACATAGCGAGCGTGGAAGGACGGCACTACAACACTCGCATTGTCTATCCGTGTCACGCCACATTTGAATATGTTTGAAGCTAGTGGCAGTAAAAATACCAAGTAGAAGAGGCGTGAAATCCAGCTGGCAGATCTTTAAATTTCTGTTCAGAATTTAATGTCAATTTTTTTTTTTTTAATGATTTATTTTAATTATAAATTTTTCCTTTCATTGTATATTTCTTCCGTTTTTTTTTTAAATTGAATTTACCTGGAGAAGTGCACGCGAAGTCCTTAAAACCCCCTTCCCATCCCCTCCCTTTTTTCTTTCCTGGCACAACGGTTGAGAACCAAAAGAAAGGTTGAAAGACTGACAGTCGGTGACTTAAGGAGTCACCCTTCGGATGAGAATCTAACAACAGGACCACATTTTTGACTGGATGGGTCTTCACCACTGGGTAGGGCATAGATACATGGCAAGGTAGCTGTGTTCAGAACCCTTTGGAAACAAGTACCGGTCAGAAGAAATACTAAATTATTATGGCCTGGAGAGAATGATGCATCTGGGTGTGACCAGAAGATCTGGCCGGCTCACTACACTCAGAGGAAAGGCAAGACGGATATATAACCATACTACGACCGCTACCATTAGTGTTAGTACTCTGCGCTGGCTGCTGAAGATGGGAACGAAGCGCACATTAGAAAGTCCCGAGGGCTGTGATTTCAATTTTTGACTTGACTCAGCTCAACTCAACTCAGAAGGACCACATTTCAGAAATCTCGTTTAACCATGTGAAATAGTTTTACCATTCGATTAGGAAGTAACCTGCTTGTCTGTGCAGGTCCTTTAATCAGTTGCAATGTGCACGTGTATGTGCTATCAGTAAGTACAGTATAAGATTATATTGACATATAATGACATAATAAAATCACACTCTTTAAAATTGTGTGTGGTTACGTGGGTGTGAGTGAGTGTGTGTTTGTGTGTGTTTATGTGTGCGTGTGTAAACGCGTGTGTGTGAGCGCGCGTGTGTGTGGCTAAGCTAAAGCCTAGTTCAGCCGAGAACAACTGTTGGTCCACATTCCTATAGAAGCTGTAATGTACTCTGCATTTCTGAGAACTAAGACCTGCTTCTTACTGACGTGTAATTTGCTCGGTATCTCAAGTCCCCAACCTCGACGAACTTGCTGCTGTTTATTCGTAGTTATCTGCAAGAGGTGATCCCTCGCACAGGTGTCCATTTAACAAACGCTACTCTTTTAGAGTCCGTGAGATCGTTGAGAACGCCCTTCGTAATGCCGGGGTGCCGGGTTCGATCCCTGCTACGGACGATTTGTCTTGCGCTGGTTTCGACAGTGGTACCAACAGCTGACCGTTGAGGAGCAATGGCAAACTACTGAACGTAAAATTTGTCTCGAAAAACCGTAACAGCCAATAAATGCTGGGGTTGGTTCTGCAACGTCCTGTAAAGGATATGCAACTCACTTACTTTGTTATCAGACAAATGGTTTCTGGTGTCTGATACTCCTGCTATGATTCCTGAACAGTAATGAACTATATATATATATATATATATATATATATATATATGGGCAGTAATATAACATTTGGGGTAGACAACCCAAGTGGAAAGACGGATCATGGTGCATTGGCAAGATTTAGTCTTTACAATACTGGCCAGGCTTTGTGCTACGGAGAGAATGAACTTAATTCCTGGTGGTAATTGTCTTGCTAGACATACTCGCCATCGCCATTGGCTGTGAGTCCCATGCCTCCACGCAGTATGACACTATTGCCTGGAAAGACATAAAGGCGCCAGTTATCGCGAATCAACATAACCTAACAGTTGGACGGGGTTTTGGGGACTTGTGCCCGGGGGATTATCATCGGAATGTTGGCACTTTGTGTCAGTGACACTTTGTGTCAGTAACACTTTGTGTCACTGACACTGTGTCACTGACACTCCGTGTCACTGGTTGTTAATCCCTCCTTATGGTCCTGGTGGGATTGAACGTCAGTCAGTCTTTAGATGGAATTTATCTGTTCTCGGACTTCTCCCTATAGGCACACTATAAACAATGTTTTTTGATGTTTTATTCAGAGCGTTTAAAAAAAAAAAAAGAAAACAAGTTTGACGTTTTATTATGAGCGCACTATAAATGTCCTTTGGTATATCATTATGGCAGAATAATGTTTGTTTATTGAAGTTTCATTACATGCACAATACAAATGGACCTGTGGGTTACATTATATACATATGAATGCTCCTTGGTTTGTATGATGGGTACAGTATAAGTATTCTCTAATTTTAATTAGGGTACAATGTAAAAGTTGTATGACATTTCGTTATAAACACATATAAATGTTCTTGACGCTATTGCAATAGTATCAAATGCATCTTCTACAAAGTTTTCGTGTTTGTATAGTCTTTATTATGTATGTAAATTGTACCCCACCAGGACACCACACAAATGATAAACACCCGATGACAAAAATTGCCATTACGCGGATGAGGATCACCCGTGGAGAGGTACCAGAAACCCCGTTTAGCCGTTAGGCCATATTTATGACCCGGCTGTATTTAGGGCCCCCGACAAAAGCCAGTGTGGGGCTTTGCAACCCACATAGGGAAGCGATGGTTATTTTAAATAGTCTTCTTCGTCTTCGTCATATTTACAATGTCACCTCAAACATGTGATTGAGTTTGAGTTATGAGTTACTATTTGGGTTATCTTCGCTGCACTCAGGACAAGCGCATAGGTGCTCATTTGTTATCCCCTTCAAGGTAAACCCCAGTGTCCCGAAGGTAATAGTGCTGGTTGCCTGACTGTCGCGCCTGGCTGCGCCGATCTTTACTGATAAATCTTCCTTTCTTAATCAAGTAACAGAAAGTGTATTGATCGGCACTCCTTTCTTAGCAGCAATTTAGACTTTGTGTTGCCAAAATCATCCGACTGCTCTTTCTCTTTATAGGTATTAACGATGTAGGCGCAAACTGTAGGATGACCTTCAGCAGCTAAAGCAGAGCTTGCCAGCCCAGCTCAATCTCTGGCAGCAACACCCAAACACCCTGGAACAAAGATGAAGGTACCTCCGCGCACAGTGGAGTTTTGCAAATACTCCATCCACTGTCTGCGAACAGAGGGTGTTTCAACTAGCCGGATGATGCTCATAGAATCATCCATTACACACACACATGGGACTAGTCCTGTGATTCCAGCCATATGAAGGCGCCCGTGGCCGTCATCATCTCTCTCGGGTGCCTTATAGTATCCTACTCCAAACAGGGAAAATCCACAGGTCACGGGACAGTTTAATACTTCAGGGGATGGTAGATAGGCTGCATGCAGTCGTGGGACCTAGGCTGCACTCTCTCGTGGGACGTATATGGGTAGAGGTTAGAGCTAGTTCTAGATGTTTTGGGGTCGTTAAAAGCCTCAGAAAGCCGGGAAACCCAGTCTTACCACCCTCTTAAATGTTGGACTGTCCTTGGACGTCATGTGGAGTATGATATTAATAAAGCACCCTCTCTCGTCATGCTGCTATCATGTCATCATGTCGGTTCAAAGTTTTCTATATCATGTCGTGTCAATAATTTCGGACATATATGTTCATTAATGCCATGATACCACACTATCTAATGCCTCTGTTTTTCTTTCCATGTCACTTTTCCTACTTATTTGTTGTTACAGAGTACTGTATTTTACGTTGCCATAAGGTAATCGGTCAACACATTCCCAGCCTCACATCAGACTGGTCACACCATAGTTGTTCCAATCCTGTGCTGAAGAAACCCACATAGAATTCTCATCATTGTCCTCTGTGAAACATGTATCATGTTGTCCTTAAAAAAAAAAGTAAACTGACTTTTTTCTTGGGCATGTAACCAGTTCCGTTTGTTGGATATTTTTTACCAAGCTTGTTTATCTGTTTGAAGGCGTCTCGCCTGACTGCTCTCTACTCCTGGAATACCCTGTAGCGTCAGGACAGAAAGAGATCTCTCGAACAGGTCATTCTGTTCGCTTTGTATTTTTCAGTGTCTCTGATATTTCTGGGATCCATCTTCAGGTGTCTTATCAACGTTCTATAAAACAGCACCTAGACAGCTTTCACATAATTTATCACTAATTTGTCACATGTCCGAGATTCCCTTCTATTTATCAAAATCGGCATCTGAGAATTCTCTTTCAGCGCTAAACTATTATTGTGACTTCAGATCTGAGACCAGTTTTTTCCAAAACAAACTCACTTCCCGTTCAGTGCTTTGTGAGTTTGGAAATTCGATGTACGTGTTCCTGGCCACATACATTCCTATCTCGTGTGGCAGGTGGGGTAAATGTTCCATACACAGAAAAAGCAGCACAGAACGGCCAGTGTGGTCTTGTTCCATGTTGGCCATCTGAATCTCATATCGGCTCCATGTGCTCTTGGACAAACACTGTGTGAGTACCACAAGAGTGCGACGGCTAGTCTGTACGGCCCTGACAATGTTTTCAGTGATGAAATTGCCAGCAGTGAAGTGCCGACCATGAATGAACACCTTTAAGCCAGCATTCTGAAGCTCGTTGTAGAGTGTATTCTCTACAAAATAGTGATCTTCGTGGGCGTATGAAACAAATACATCATATTCGAATTCTTCCTCATTGGCTCTGTCAGTCTGTTTTTTGTAGTGGAGAATGGCTGAATAGTAGAGATAACGGAGCTTCCAACGAAAACGAAAGACAATGGCGCCGATTATTGCTAGTATAACCACAAACGTTGCAGTGATGATAAAGGAGAATGCCTCCAGATTTGAAGCGCATTGTTTTTTCATGTTGTTATATACTTCTTCTAAGTTGTCCACGGTCCTTTTATTCCCATCCTCAAACGTGCAAGTAATTCGCGTCGTGTTGGCTAGCACTCGTGTTTTTGTCAGCCACTTGATAAACGAAATTTTACTGCAGAAGCAATGAACGATATTTTTAGAGAAATCAATAGTAAAATTCGCAGAGTTCTGTTTAATGTTTTCTAGCTCATTTGTCACGTGTGAGGGCAATGATACCAAGTTTGTGCTTGTGAAATTGATGAAAATCAAACTGTGCATGTGAGAAATGAAAACATTGAATTTCAAAATAGGATTCTCTTGTAGGTATAAGAATTGTAAGTTATCCAGCCCTTTAAACGCGTTTGGGGAAATGCGCCAGATGTTATTGAAGCTTAGATCAAGAACTGTTAAGTTGACCAGATGAATGAACAACGAACGATTCCGGTTTAACGCCATGTCCCCGAGCACATTGTAACTCATATTGAGGAATTCTAGTGATCCTAAGAACTCGAAAAACGTAGGGTAGATTTCATGTATTTTACAACCTGTCATGCTTAAACGCCTCAGGAAAGTTAGACCTTTTATAGGCCCTTTAACTATAGGGAAATTATTGGAATCCAGATTTATCGTTGTAAGTTGATTGGTTTCATTGAAATGAAATTCACTCAGATGGTTATTAAATTCTGCAGCAATAGCATTGACTTCACGAAGTTTTGGAGGAAGCGGTTGAGTCAAGTAACTGAGTGTGCCATAGAGGAAGTGAGGTTCATCAGTTGTTGAAGATATTTCATCCTTACAGTGGTCATACACACGGGCATATGCCGGTGGGTAATACCGCGGTAAATCAAAGACATCCCCACCACCCAGTATCAAGACTTTTAGGCTTTCGAGTTTATCCAGATGCTGCAGGTAACGCCAGAATGCAAACTTATTAGAACTGACATCTATTTGCTCAACTGTTTTAGGCATAAATTGCAGGACCCCCATCTCTAATGTCCCTATGCTGTTGCTGGAGGCATTGAGCATCTTAAGTTTTCTCGGAAGACTCTGAGCAAAGTCATTTGTGACACATAAACCCGGGTGGTATGGATTGACAATGTTGGTCATTTTGAGAGTCGTTATATTCGAAATATCTGTAATCGCGCTCAAAGCTTTACGAAGATTCTCAAACCTCAAAGCATCGTTGTGACTCACATCAAGGAATGTTAAATTAGGTAAAGGCACAAATACTCCATCTTCTAACAATCTGCCATTAATTCTACAATTGATTATCTCCAGGTGTCTGATACTGGCCACATTTTCAAACGTTTCGTTTGTCAATGACTGAAAATGGCAGTGACCTTCATCCTTTCCCCGAAATATTAACGTTGTAAGAGATGTCATATTCTGGAAACCGATACCCAAACTCTTATTCTGTAACCCATCCAAACGTAGATATTCAAGGTTTTGTAGATCAGCAAAGGCTTCATGTGGATAGTCCAGGTCTGTGTCGTTTATATGAGTATTATTGTGAATTGTTAGCCTCTGTAGAGCCTTAAGGGGCTTAAATACACCCACTGGATACGTTTCCGTGTTCATAGACAAGTTGTTACTACTTAAGTCTAACATAGTTAGCTTGAGCAGACCCAAGAAGCTGCCATTTTTCAAATACTGTAGATTATTGTGACTTATGCTCAGCCATTCTAGAAGCGTGAAGTTTAGAAACGCCTGGTTGTCAATGAACGATAAATCGTTGAATGATAAATCTAGTCTTGTAATGTTGGTAGGAAGACTGGCCAGCAGCTTCAGGTCACTGCTTCCCAACCTTGAACAGTCTGCGCTAGGGTTTGAGTAATTTATTTTGCAGTGTATCTTTTTGGAGACCCTTGAGCCAAACTCTGTTGTTAAATTACCAAAA